TTCATCAGATGCACCACGTCTTGGTCCTTCAATTCTCTTGTTGATAGGTATATGTGTATGTGTACGAGTAAGTATCTCTTTTTTATCCTCCCATCGCCTCCACCGATCTAATAGGTCTATATAGATGGACCATCCTGTGGGTGTAGGTTGACGATCGCCACCCTCCCTCCCTCCCTCTTCTCGTTATAAGTATATACTGGCTTTTACTCGCCGAAAGAAAAAACAACAAATGTCACGCTCGTCACTTTCTCACTCCCACCCATCGTATCGATAATTTTTTTTTTTTTTTTTTCTACTAAACAAATTAATTGGTTACTTCTGTGTTTGGTTCAATAAAAAAGTGCCAATTTTTTAAGTGGTCTTTGAGACAACTACCCATGACAATACAACAAATGGTAAATGAGCGTTTCAAAGGTATAATTATTCAGTCAATGTGGCAATAATGTACCCAACCGGTGTAAATAATAATAATAATAAATAACTTGGACAGGATGGTAAGAGGTAATCAAGTACTCAGGCGAAATCATCAAAGTAACTATTTTATTACAATTACGCACCTTGTGTAATACACATATATTGATAATGATCATATTTACATCAGTCTCAATTATTACACGGCTAAAACTGTTGCGACGCATTAAATAAACGGAACTGCGCGCGCCTTGAGGACTTATGTAATTTTAAGGCTGATCACACTTTTGGACGTAAACAAAAGAAGAAATCATTCATGGTGCACTTGATGGACAACCGTTGTATTACAGTATCCTTATACGTTAAAAGTCCGAAGGTCTTGGCCCTATCCGCCTAGGCCAGCCAGATACGAATAAAAGTTATTTTTAATTATGTGAAATATATCTCTAATTAATTTTAGATGACTCGTTTGCGCCCATTGCCATTACGAAAATATCTTACCAAAGATTTGTACGGGATTCCTGTACTCTACCAATGCTAACCCGGATAATGCGTCATTTTAATATGAAAAAAAAAAAAAATATTATTGTCAGTATCCTTGCAATCCATAAAATACAGAAAAAGATACTGCAACGTAAAGTTAAGCGGCAATGATTGCGCTTGGACGAGCCCTTGTCTAAAAATGCCAAACTAATGACACAAACCCCGCTGACAATTGCATTAAATTATTGCGGCATCGTCTGTTGTTGCAGTGCAGACAGAGGATGAGCTGGAAAATGAAGGGAAGGAGAAAGATAATTCAATTGATGATCGTCCAGGCGTATTTTATTAGCCACGGCTGTACAAGCAATACACGTACACTTGCACCAGCTGCCTCCTATCCCGCGTCTGATTTATCTGCGCTCTTCGATTTATTTATTTTTCTCTCATCCCCATAGTGCTCCAGTGTTCCGCGTGCTTTTCTGACCTCGCTTGCTCATGTTCAGCGTCGGGTGTACATTTTGACTGATCGCTTGAAAAATACGCGCGCGACTCTTTGTTCCTCGGATGAGCTAAATACGCTTACTTACTCGTCTATAATTTATTCGAGAAAGAGTCGGCGAAGCCACGTATTTCTTAATTGTTATCTCACATGCTGGTTGTTACACCATTAAAATTAATGCTCGCGCGCGTTTGCTGATGCTGAAAAGCCTTCAAAAGTATATATACATATATATATATTTGGTTCGCAGTACTTATTTGGTTATCCCGGATGAATAACTTTAGTTGATTTCGGGGTCAGACTCTACTTTAAATTTAAATAACAAAATCTTCGTTTGTTACACACGATTAAATTTCATCTGAACACTCTCGAAACGTTATTCTTGACCACATATTTATAAATACAACTTAACTTTACAATTTATACTCTGTAATGACAGTTAATGATGATTATGTTTATCATAATTTTTCACTTTGTATTTTTGCATTTCCAACGTAACGATATAAGCTACGGGTAATCTGAAAATGTATAGCTGTGCTAATATTCACAACGTTTTTTATCGATGAGTATACAATAGAGTAAAAAAATATTTTTAAGTCTTTTTCGGATTGGATGGAGTAATCTTTTAAGATGTTAATTGAGTTCTTTAATATAATCACAATAATGATTTTCGTGAGTAGTCATATATATATATAT